CAAAAAAAAAAAGAAAAAAAAAAAAGAAAAAAAAAGGAAAATAAAACGGAGACGAAGAAGAAAGGCGAGAAGGGAACACCAAGGGACGAAGAAAACGCTCGGTCCACCCGTTATAAAACATTCCAACGTCACCAGGCTATCCGAGCTTCCACGGGCCGAGGCCGTTTTTGTTTTCACCATCGATCCACCCTCCCAGACACCCTCTCTCTCTTTCTCTCTCTCCCTCCCTCTTTCTCCCGCTTAAACCGCTTTTGTTTTGCACCTCGTTTCCAGTCGTACTTGCAACAACCGGTATCATGCGAGTGCTTCCTGAGATAACTTGCGCAGTGAGTATATATGCGTGTGTATATGTGTGTGTGTGGAATCTGCGTTGTCCAAAGACTTCCCTTGGGTGGTTAATACCGGATGCTGGAAGGAAAGGGAGATGGAAGAATGGGATTTTGGGGAACGACCGACGAGGATTTGGGACGGTTGGACGTTTTTACATTTCGTTGATGGATTATAAAAAGCTTATAAATTTTCATTTCTATTTTTGAACTTGTATTTTTTGTAAATCTTGTTTATACGGTTTGCTTGGTTTCGTTATAAAAGAAAGTCGTCAGATGAATGTGTGAAAAAGATATTCGAAAAATAGAAGCGATTCGACGTTCGATTTCAAGGAAATAAATCCTTTTTCGTGGATGGAATGATAATGAAAGTTTTATTTTCTATTGCTCTTCATCTTCGTTTCTCTCTCTTCTCTTTTCAGAATTTTTAACAGTTATTTTTATTTTTCTAATGTGATTGGCAAATATTTTGCAAGATTGTAAGAATTTTGAACGAATTTTATAAAATATTTAATCTCAAACGTGTGAAAGACTTAGAGGAACTTTATTTATTATATTAAAAATAATTTCTACAAGCGATTCGTTTAACTTCCAACTCTTTTAATTCTCTTCTATCTAATATTTCTATCTAATAAATTTATATCAAATTTTACATATATCCTTACATTAATTACAAAAAATTCTTTCTTTCTCAAAATAATTAATTTTCAATTTATATCGTTTAAACGTTGCAAGTACTGAGAAATTAATTATGGTCTCCGTATAGAGAGCAAAATTTCTCATTTCCATTAAACTGCAAAATTGCAGCATACCTAGGCAAAGAACCGCAGATAGTCTCCACAATCTTGCCACAACCTTCTCAACGATTAATCTCGCGTAATCCAGACACGTTCCAATACACGCGTTCTTATACATATATATATGTATATATAGGTTCTTTGAACAAAGCTGCGACACAATTTCGAATTCGTTTAGCGAATCGAGATAGGGAGGAACGGCATGTCGTGTGAAAATTTCATTTCTCGGCGTGTACGTGGATTAGAAACCGTTGTCAAAGTTGTCGACGTTCCACCACACCTCGAAAGGCAAAACAGAGGGCCGTAGATGAAGAGGTAACTTTGGTAATTCGTTCCACGAACGTCGAACTGATTTTTTCTTTCCTCTC